AGGTCATTTTGACTGCATCATTAACTGCATCAGTACCTTTTGACGTATGATCTCTTACAGAACTTTTAGTCAGCAGTTTGAGGATAAAATAGTAAAATTTTAACTTACAGCGAGACACGTAGCGTGATGACGAAAGAAAAGAAGTATTAAGACGAACAGACAGACAACGTGTTAACTGTGATGAAAAATAAAGTAGAATTATTAGAATCAGGTTGGAAACTGAAGAAAATTAAACTATCACCGAAAAAAATTCAATTTATCGAAGGACAGTCAAAATGACCTTTTATAGTGTGCAGCTCTCTCTGGTCTCGGAAAAAATGTTTGGACCATTGCAAGTCAAACAGTCCTCTTTTTTGACATGCCAGCTTTCAGAATCACTATCGGAAAGCTAAGTGAACTCGTTTTTTCAGACTAAAATTTTTTTTAGTTTTTAGTTCCATTGGATAGAGCGTTCAAAACTGTATACGTCTTCATTGGCACACCATGTTGTTGAAAAGCTATTGACAGATGAATTAGTGATGGTACTCTTGTTTTCGCTATTTCTTCGCTTGATGACGATTTTTTAGTCTGAAAAACGAGTTCACTTAGCTTTTCGATAGTGATTCTGAAAGCAGACATGTCAGAGAATAGGAAGCATTAACTTGCAATGGTCCAAACATTTTTTCCGAGACCAGAGAGGGCTGCACACTATAAAAGGTCATTCTGACTGTCCATCGATAAACTGAATGTTTTTCGGTGATAGTTTAATTTTCTTCAGTCTTCAATCTGATATTCGTGCATCAGCGTCAAATTCTGCTTCTAGTGATGTATCTGATGACCGAATTTGGAAAAAAAAAATTTTCGGTTTCCCCACTAAGGCTTAAAATTTTCCGAAAATTTAAAAATGAGTTTTTCGAAAAACTGAAACGGCTACTTTGTTCAGAATTCGTCGCTGATTCTAATCATATGCTTTTTTTCTAAAAACTGTAAGAAGCGAACGTTATCCGCCCCCTTCTTTTCGATTTTTATTTTTTACCTTGTTCACCACTAACTTGTATTTTAAAGATTTCTCACCCAAAACACGATCGAAATAAATTAAGAACGGCATATTCGGAATCTTCTCGTCAACCTCTATTCAACCATGTATGATTCGATCAAATCCATTTCTGCTCGTTTTTGAGTGGGGAGGGTGCCCTAGATACCTAGATATCTGAGATACAAAAGAATAACAGAAATAGGAGTTGGCGGCGAACTCAAATTACGCACGGCCTCATGAACAGGTAAAATTCTTTGTTCTGTTCCATTTATAGAGTTATGTTCGTGTGAAGGATAAAAGATATAATTCGTAAGTAGACACAACTTACAATATATAATTATGGCTTTTGATTATTATATAGACCGATCATATCTGGTGAATTACTATTTTCTAAAAATGATAGACGATCAAAGGTACGTACTATTAGTGAGGATAATTTATTCAAGTAAATCATCTATCTCTAGATCAACGAACGTGTCAAAATCTAGACGATCTGTTAATCAGAGATAGATTTTTTATTAGAATCGGCTGAATTCATTCAAAAAAAAATAAATTGTAATCTGTGAAGACCGTCTTCAAACCACAACAGTTGTAATTTAGACGAGTGTGATGAATTTCTCTTACTGCAAAACTAATGAATTTTGAGAATTTGTAATTCACCAGTAAAAGATCCTGTTGAATTCAAAAGTTTGATTTAGAAGGTTTCAAAAACTAAAACTTATAGATCTTCAAATTAGAAATATAAAGATGATGCTGTAGGTAAGTAGACGAGAAACGGGTCTGAGATGACAAAAAAAACTGAACATATTCGGGTTAATCAAATCATACTTTTGGAGGGTTTTTTTAAGTTTAAACCTTTTTAAGTTTAAACTTTAAGAAATGTATAGAGATTACTTAACTATCCTGATTGTAAACTTCATACACTATACTAATCACGAATTTATTCTTCTGCAAAAAGCAATCTTTTTAAAAAATCGTTTAGTACAGACTCATGGGCTTTAAATGAGATATATATTATTCAGTTGCTTCCGTTACAATCGAAGCATAGTTTTAAGCTTACAAAACCAATATCTAACCCTGAGCTGAAACATAATACTAACATGCAACAGAAAAACCTTATAGAAGAGAGATCTATAGAATGTGAGTGTAGCTCTTCATCCTCGCTAGAGCTAAACAAGATACCACTCATTTTTCTCGTCGTCTGTATATCCCTACAGACTCCTTATCTGTAACAAACATTTGTTCTACTGTACTTTTACAATATGCGAGTCACTTTCTGTCGCATGCATGTTGTCGCACATGAAAACGAACACTGTCACGATACTCAGCATACTGGACCACATATGATTCAACCTGTCTCAAGGCTATCAGACCTCAAGAACCGAAGATAGCTGGGTCTCAGCAAACGTGTGTTCTGTTAGAAAACGCAGTGGCTAGTGATCTCGCACTTGAGCAGTTCGACAGAAGATAGTCGAGGTTGTCGCATACATATGGAGCATAGATACATACGTTACAGAAAGCAAAAGTGCCGACCTCTTCGTTCAAAGATATGTCAGGCACACCATCGAGAAATGTGCCATTCAAAAACCTATTGCTTGAGATGCGTGAGATTGTTAACGAAATACCATAGTCGAACTCAGATTCTCTACCTATATTTTTTCTACTGAAAAAAATGGTCAAGATTATTCTGTTTTAACCCTTTCAGGCCCAAATTATTTCTTTTGTTTTAATTCAATTAGATTGTAAGAAAAGTTGATCTAAGTCGTGAATGTGTGCCGTGCACAGCTCGCCTGTATTTTCACTTGACACGCTTTACGTAGAACTCATTCAATTTCTGTGTAGACGGTGCTAAAAAGGGTCACTGAAGTTTATTAGTTGCAAAACTTACGCAAGTTTTTGGTGAAATGTCAAAAAACAGTTCCTGTTCTTCTTTACACAAAGAGAAACGCCGCAAAAGCTACATTTTATGGTACTGAATACTGGAGAGGCTTTCGTGCTACAATATCGGCATCTTCCCTTAGACCCAGCGAGAGGCATATGCGCTAAGAACTGAATTGATGAATCCGTGTTGCCCAGCGTTTGTTGAATTTGTTTTTCCTTTGCATGAGACAAATGCATCGGTCTTTCAATTCTCTTCCGAGGGCATTGATCACCAATTAGTGACATCGAGACAGAACAGAGAAAATCAGCGTAAGTCATATTTTTCTCATGCAAGTCGTTGTAACAGACAAACGCATTCGATAAAGCTGCTTGAAGAAAATAAAGAAATATTCGAATCCAATTCCGTCGAGATTTTCTGTCAGTTGAATAAAGAGAGACTCTTTGATCAAATAAATCTACGTCACGCATGAACTTATTGTACTTTGAAACCATTGCTGGACAATGAATGGATATCTTTGAAACCATCTTTTTCTGTTCTACTGACAGTTTCAGTTTGCCTTGGGTCGAATGAATTACTTACAATAAAAACTGTTTTCTTGTCTTGCCACTTGACCACCGATATTTGATTACAGACATAAGATATGTATTCACCTCTTTCAAATTTATCTGTGTGTAGAAGTTTCTGAGGAAAAAGCTTCCCGTCTGCTCTTATTGTTCCAGTTGCTCCTATTCTTTTCTAAACAAATAGAAATAAACATTCGTTTGCGTTACAATCATATCAATGATATCCGTGGTAAAAAATTTATTGAAGATATCGATTGGGTCGATGCTTTCTGCAAGAGGTATCGTTGTATGTCCTTTGATTTCTGCTGAAGAAAAATTTGTATTTGGGATAAAGTCTTCGCTCCAATTCCATTCAAGTTCTTCGTCTTCATTTTTCACAACGCTGCTTTCTTCATCCATTTCCACGTCACTTTCAGCATAGTCACTAATATCACTGCCATCATCAAAAGATGAGACACTTGTCTCACTTTCTTGATCGAAATCCATTGGTTTCTGCGACTAACAGACTTCGCAGTTGACGAATAAAACAGGAAGAATCCTAGACTTTATTGCGATATCGGTAGTTTATTGAAATGAATCTCAATCCAAACATAGCCTTTATATACACATCTCAACGATTCGCCGTGAATATTCTAGAATTTTCTCGCTAAAACAAGATATAACTTATCATCAGACTGTGCAGGAAGCTTCTAGAACATTCCCTGTTTTATATACTTGAAAAGAATTTGCAAAGATTTTCATTAATTACATTGCAAAAAAAGCGTTGCAAAACAGGTGTAGCTTTTTTTATACTATGGGACTGAAAGGGTTAACACAGATAATAGTCGTGTTGGAGTTGCTTAATAAAGCAGCTCGAAAAAGTTCTAAAAAATATATTTGAATATTCACACATTACGTACTCCTTTCCACACTAGGCCTGCGAAGGTTCACTGTTCGTTCAGCTGCAGTTCCTCGACAATCGGAACTATTTTTCAATTCAACTTTATTAAACAGAAAATGTTTTTCAGTTTCTGTTCTTGGAACAGGAACAATCCAGCCAGGAGTGGCTGATCAGTTCCAGTACCTTTGAACGAAAACTGCAGTTGTTTTTTAACGAGGAACTGTTAATGTTCTCCTTCTCAGTAGTCTGTTAGCTTGGTTACTTTTTTAAAAATGTTCACTATATGAATACGTTATAACATATTCATATAGTGAACTCTCCTTGTCGTTAGTGCTTTGTTAGTGTATATATACACTAACAAAGCACTAGGAGAGAATTAAGCAGCAAACAGCTGTAGTACACGTTCAAACGACTGGTGAGCCATTCGTCGTTCTTATGAACGAAAACTGCTTTTCAGTTTCCGTTCAATAAGCGAGAACGGACGAGTGAGAAGCAGTACTCATTCAATGAACCGAAACCCTAAACTGTCAAACGGTCTTTTGCTGTTTGTTTGTTTAGTTTATCAGATACAAGTTTAAGACTAAGAATTATGTTGAAAATACATCTCATAAACCAAATTTACGAGCTCAAAAAACAGATGCGAGAGCAATTGTTGAGCATATGATATATGTATGGGAGTTGCCAACACCTGATTTAATAATTTCTATTACCGGTGGTGAAAAAACATTCAAAATGGCTCAACGGATAAGAAATGAATTCCAACGTCATTTAGTTTCAATTGCTATTCACTCAGGTAAGATCTCTCTTATATATGTATATGAATGCTCATTTTAAGACAGGATAATTCTTTTGGACACACGAGAGACTTTATGTTAAGTTTATTCAAATCGTATTACTCCATGAGGGCATTCTGGTAGACTTATCCAGATATATTGCGATAACTAAAATATATCATAAATGTGGGAACGCCTCCCCTCCCCCACCCTCTTATATCAGTGCATATAAACTATAGGAGATATAGCTCAATAATATTTTTATTTATGTCCATCCCGATGAACGATGACTTATCGCCGTATCACACCACTAAAACCTTTTCAATACTGACTTCTTTCGCAATATACTCATGTGTGTACTCGTTGTCATATATTGTGGTAATTTTTTTCTTCACTTCTGTCGGTGAAACTTATAGTGAATAAAGCTCTTATTTTGCTACTATTACTCACGTTTTTTCGAGTGAAAATCATTAAGTGAATATGACGTATTATCAAAAAGCTAACAGACGATGCCCGCTGTTGGTTAATGTTTTTGAATAACTAGCAAAATAAAAAGAGCTACGTAGTAGTACAACTAAAAGTTCCTATTAGAACTTCAGATATTCAGTTTTCAGAAAACCACCCAAAAGAAATGTAACGGCGCAATCGGATCGGATTCGTGATCAGCGTCAAAAAGTTACTCAAGAAAAAGTATGTTAGCGCCAGAAAGCCATTAGACACTGGACGTACTGTCTTCGTAAGCTTAAAACGAGAGAGAACGGGTAATTATGTCACACATAATAGATTTTGATCGAGATCTTCTTTTGAAATAAATAAAACTGAATTGTGTTTTTACTCTATAAAATTATACAGATGCATGGATTTTTACCGGTGGTGCAGATTCCGGTGTGATGAAAGAAGTTGGTGATGCTGTTGATATTTCTCGATATAAAAGTACAGACAGACCAAAACAACTTTCATGTATTGGTATAGCAAATTGGTATTTTACAACAGGTGCGTAAATATATCCTTTCATTTTGTTTCACTTCTGTTTACTTATATCAAATGTATTGATTGTTTACAGATTATGAACAACTACAAAGCGAACGAGAAAGAGCTCCGGTAATACATGCAAAAACGTATGAATATTTTTTTAAATTTCATATAACTATTTTTGAGTTATTGAGTCAACATTGAATACATTGTTTTGCTTTTCCACGATAAATTTAGGCAATTTTAACGAAGTTTATACACAATTTTCGAATTGAATTTTCGAATTTTGAAACTGATTCAAAATCGAATTTTTGATCCTTACTGGACTTAACTTACCATGCAAAAGTAACTGGACGAATATCGAGCATTATTTGTACATGTTCCTAATGTGCGCGAAAGTAGATTATTTTTCGTTGAAAAGACTAAAGTCTGAACTTCAGGAAACATAGAAAACCAAATTTTTTTACCTCGCCTTATTAATTACACTGTTTTCTGAAGTTTAGAATTTGATCTTTTCAACAGAGAAATAATTTACTTTGTTTTTGCTTAACTTTTTAATCTCGTCTCTCGAGTCCAATGGCCACTGATATTGTGTTATCTCATTGCACCTGTGCCTAAAAGTACCGAGACAATGAGCATTGGATAGTTTGTCCAAGCATATTAAGTGACCGCCGCTGCCGGGATTGGAACTCCGTATCTTTGAAGCACATTGTCTGCCAACCAGCCGACAGAGCCGCACTGATCCGTAATTTACTTTCCAGCACATTAGAAACATGTACAAATAATGCTCGACGTTCGTCCAATTACTTTTGCATCCTAAGTATTACTGATTTTTGAGAACAGTGTAAAAGCCTACATTCGATTTTAAATAAAAGCAACAGAATTCTTGTAATTTTATAAAATCATTCTTTCACGTGGTATAAAATTAGAATCGATTTTATAGCTAAGTCAAAAGCAGTCATCGAGTTTCTTATTATAAAATTCACGAGTATTTCATATATGAACTGCTAAAATCGGAAACGGGAATATACGGGAATATTTTGAAAAAAATAATAAAATCGCTTTCATATTTCTGCTGTGTTAATTACAAAAGTTTTTTGGTTATACAGATATTTAGGATCGTTTCTTGAGACTCTCCTTTATCTCTGAATCATCAGAAAAATTGGTACTCACTCCGCGCTGAACCAAACTAGATAAAACTTGGATGCCAGATGCAGTGAAACCGACAGTGGGTTCTTTTTAGTTGCATTTTTGACTTCTGTACGAGTTACACCATCTTTAAGCAGTAGTCATACTTAGCTTTTCGACAGACCCGAGCTCTTTCGCGCTCTCTATAAGCGGACGAAAACCGCAGGTTGCTCGCTATTCGTTAAAAAGTTATTCTAAAAGCATCAGAATGTACTGTAATTTCGAAAGGATAGTAGTTTTTCAATTGTCAACAAACATTTATTTTAGAATACTGGTCGATTGGCTAAACTGATTGCCGAAACCTTTAAGAAGTCTATGATGTAACTTATGCTAAGTTCCTAGCAAAATTCTCGTTGCGCGAACATAATTTCGGTTTGACGATTTCTCTCCTGCTGCTGCGAGATCTCCATCATTTACCTGGGATGAGAATTTTTGTGCGTGGCAGATGCCTACTTTTGGCCCTTGTTGTGACACCCTCTCACGAACAGTTGCAAGTGACGCCAAAAGTAAAATTTCGTTACCACACTTTGACATGGTCAACATTCCCTGAAAGTTTGGTTTAGATCAGACCTTCCTGGGCTGAGATAGGTTTCTGACCCAGGGGCAGAAACCGGACCGTACAATCCTACACAAAATGATATTTTAGTTGAATGAATCTAAGAAAAGGGTAGTAATAGTGGGTTCTGTTTAAGAAGAAACTTACTTCCAGTAAGCCAGTTTATCAGAAAGCATGCTTTGTTTTTATAGTTTACAGAGTACGTTCTATTATCATTCCATCTCTTAGCTTAGACATACATCGCAAATGTTTCTCTATTCATAATAAAGCAAAAAGTTTTTGCGTGATGAAAAAGGATAAGTGGAATGATTGGTGAGGAAAGAAAATACTGGGCGTAAGAACGTCAGCCATGGAAAAGATTATGTGTACCTCTATCAAAAACGGTAAGCTAATTAATTAAATTGTCATATATGAGAAGAAAAATCAGCGTGTATTTTTAGGAGATGTATAAATGTTGCAGGGATTCTGAGCAAAAAGAAGACAAATTTACTTTGTTAGTGTGATTCTTAGCTTAGCTGAAAAATCAGGTTGATTTTATTAATTTTTCTAAACTAAAGCAGTTCATGAAAAATCCTAAAAGATTTCAAACAACGTATAGAATTAAGTATTCTTCTTCCCTTCTTTTTGTTGATATAAACTTTATTTTGTCAGAATACAAGCGGAAAAATATTCCATTATAGTATTCTAAACTAAAACTATCGAAAAACACAAAATCAATTTTGTACGAATAGAGATTCGAACACATGAACATAGCTTTGCAGAAACTACAAAACTAAATTCACTGTTCTGTGTCTATATTTTGTACAACCATTGAAATTGTGCAATCGACTCGATGTTATCAGTAGTATTTTGTTTTGGTATGTTTTTTGTGTTCTGTTTTGATATAAGCTAAATATAAGCTATTCTTTTTGTTCTTCTGGAATCAAGGCGATTTTGTGACAAATGTAAAATAAGCATCTACTTATTTTTCTATAAAATTTCCTACCTATTTAAACCTTTAAAATTGCAAGCGGTTTTATAACTGATTTTTTATATTATCATAAAATATTTAAAATTCGCAGTGTGGTCCATTATATCCGGATAGTCCTCAGTTGTATCGGATTCGACCAATTGAAAACCAAGAAATAAGCAAAAGCAATCCACTAAATCCGGATCATACACATTTTATATTGTTAGAAGATGATTATGGACCGGATACCGCCGAGGCGAGAAACCAACATTTTCTGCAAACAAATCGTGATTTAACCATTACGCGTAACAATCTTGCTTTAGAACTCCGTGCTGGAATAGAAGATGAAGCAAGGAATGCATATAAAACAAAAAGTAATCGTCAAAAACAGGGTTTCCAGTTCGAAGATTTACCTAATTCTTTGTTTAACACTAGATGTGACACTTGTTCAAATATTGTTAAACGGTGGACGATCATCTTTATCAACCGTTTTTAATGCTATTGAAAGAAATATTCCAGTTATTGTTATCAACGTATGTTCATTGAACAGCTGGTGCTACTCGTTTTCTCGTATTTGCTTACAATACCTAATACTAAAATTTTAGCATTTAAGAGGGATGCTCCATTAAAATTTCCTTCAAGTTCTCCGACTTTATAGAGAATACCTACGCAATTGATGACGCTGATCCCAAATATGAATATCGGAGTCAGCCTTACGCTTTTGTTGATCGGTTTTCGGAAAAGTGAATCTTCAGAAAACCAGAGACCAAATCCAGAACTTTTTTTTGTAAAGGACACAAAACTCTTTATGTTCCATAAGTTTTAGTTTTTCAAAGCAAAAACCAATGGCGTAGGAAAATTTCCCAAAAGAGTGGCTACGCTTGTTTTTATGGGAAAGTTAGCAGGATACTTTGTAAAAACATAGTACCGTTCAACAATATTTTGAAAAAATAAAAGTTATGGAACATAGACAGCCTTATGTTCTCTACGATTCAAGAATATTTTCTGGATTTGGGCTTGGGTTTTCTAAAGATCCAGTTTTCAGAAAACTGGTCAACAAAAGCCTAAGAGCAACTCCGATGTTCATATTTGGAATCAGCGTCATCAATTACATATAGTCCGCTTAGTTTCATCAAGAAAATGATTTGCAGCTTAGGGCTCTTCCCTCGTCAGATAAAGCGTGCCTGAATTTATAAGAAGCTCTACACGTTATGCATTTTGTTGCCCTATCAATTCTGCATCAAATAAGCACTTAACTTTTGTTAAAATGCTACACGCCAATCGATATCAAAAACTGAAATATTCTTTTAACAAATCCTCGAAGTTTTTAGTATCAAATCAATTTTCTATCACGAAGAGACTATTTTTCAAGCCAAATAATGTTGATCAGGATAAAAAACTGAATCCAACAAGGAAAGGTGGTCCAAGCAGAAGGGTTCGACGGATACCCCCTTCCCCCTAACTGAAAGTAATTATATTACACGAGTCAATAAAAACAAAATTTTGAAAAAATAGCTCGCGTAGAGAAAAATTTTCGGTGAACCCCTCACAAGAATTTTCCGTAGGGTAGTAGTTTGATTTTTAGAAAAAAACTTCGACCACCTTCCCTCCCAATCTTGAGTGCCTGGCCAGCTCTGTCAATAGGTAGTTTTTACCCAAATTCTGAAACTTCTTTTTGTCCCGCAGCATTGGTGGATACAAAGGGTTTTACTCGCAAAAGTCAATTTTTCACCTTATACCATAAGGCGTTGAAAACACTATAACTTCATCAACTTGTCCAAATTGAGTAAAAGAGCGTACAGGTTATGTTTATGATAAGACAGTAAGTTACGAAGCGTCTGAAATACCGACTCTTGTTGCAAATGCTCAGATAATTGTATCTAGCAGATGGTTTTGGCTAAAAGATTGCTACTCTTCGAGATTACCTGTCTACTTGAACTATAACAAATGTTTCAAACAACGACGAGTTACACCATCTTTAAGCAGTAGTCATACTTAGCTTTTCGACGCACCCGAGCTCTTTCGCGCTCTCTATAAGCGGACGAAAACCGCAGGTTGCTCGTTAAAAAGTTATTCTAAAAGCATCAGAATGCACTGTAATTTCGAAAGGATAGTAGTTTTTCAATTGTCAACAAACGTTTATTTTAGAATACTGGTCAATTGGCTAAACTGATTGCCGAAACCTTTAAAGAAATCTATCCTTTGTACAAACCTGAAGAATTAAAATCAGAGGAAACCCGAAAAGCAAATGCGACAGCACGGAAAGAAAAAGTTTTGTATGTAGTTCAAGACGCCATAAAAATATCTACTAAAATATATGAAACACCATCCATTGAATTTCAATAGGACACCAGCATTTGTTGAAGAACACAGTGGTGACGAGGAAATTATTCCAAAAAAATATATGCAAGAATTTATTAACATGATCCAATCTCTAAAAGGTTACTATCTCATTAACATACTTGATTATGACAATGAGGGTCATGCATTAAGAACATCCACATTTTGGGAGGACACATTGAACATTTCTTAGCAGAGCACTTGGACATGTTATGTTTTTTCAATTAACTTGTTTTTGCTAGCAATATAATTAACTAGCATTCAATACTTCAGCTTTTCCTAGATAAACAGAAATAGAGTTTTCAATGAAAATAAAATATTTTTACTGAATATATAAAGTCCTACTAGATTCTCTATAGTGTATGGTCTGACATCTTTTCAATTAAAAAAAGATAGGTAGAGAATCCGAGTTCTCGCTATGGTGTTTGCTGTAAAAGTTTTATTGAAAGAAAGAGAAAAGTAAATGCAAAGATTCGTGGATCATGGTGTTTCATTAACAATCTCACGCAGTCATGTTTTTCAGCAACAAGTTTTTGAAAGGTGCATTTCTCAGTGGTATGCCTGACAGAACTTTCAACAAAGAGAGGGCTATACTTTTGCTTTGATATAAGTTCTATTTACTGCACGCTTGAAAGTAAAAACCACGGTGCAAAAGGGAAAGTGGCATAAGCCCATAATATCATTTTTGTCTATTTGGACCATGTTTTATGTATATATAAGGGAAAAGAGAAAAGGATGAAAAAACAGAAAACTAAATAACAAAAGACATCAAGGAAGAAAAGATGGAGACAGAGAAGAAGATAACATATCTCAAACTTCGCACACTTTCATCCACCCAACTCCATTAAAGATTCTTTGATCTCCATTTGAAATTAATTAAAAGTATGCGGAGTTTGGGAAGTAACGGATGTATGAGTAGAAATGGGATGGATAGTGTAACTGATAAGCAGTATAGAGGGAATCAGAAGCACTGAGTATTTTTCATATAATTTACAACTACTAGTGCATACAGCTCAGTAATTTTCGAATTCGTCCAAAAACAGTATATTATGTAGCAACGGTCCATTGACCGAACTGGACTCAAAATTTTTGGTCTATACGGAGCTCTTTCATGTAGTATAAAAGATAACTCAGATGCAGTAGCATGCCAATTTTCTTTCAGTTTTGAACCAACGATGGTGCGAACATTCCATAAAACGCTTAACTGTTTCCGGTTTATCACATGCGCAGAAGTGCTAGTTAATCAGATTTTGCAAAATAAATCGTACTGTAATCTAGAAAAATGGCCATGCATTTTACTGAAATGCATGTCATATTGTCATACTTTCGGTAAAAATGCTCATACAGTTTAGCAAAAACGACTTAACTTCGCAATTTAATGTAATTCAACAGGTAGCTCATTCCATTGTCTTCCTGCCCATGGGGCCAGGATCTTCTGTCGAACTATACAAGTACGAGATCACTAGCCACCGCGCTTTCTGAAAGAACTCACTTTTGCTGAGACCTATCTCGCTTCGATTCTTCAGGTCTGATAGACTTGAGAAGAGAGTTGAATCATATATAGTCCAGTCTGCTGAGTATCGTGACAGTGTTCGTTTTCATGTGCGACATCATGCATGGGATAGAAAGTGGCTAACACTATTGTAAAAGTGCAGCAGAACAGACGTTTGTTAAAGATAAAATAGAGCATTTCCAGCGATAGTATGTTCTTAGTTTTCCATGAAGTCAGACAATAGCAGAAGTATCATGATACTCAGCATTCCAGATAGTCGAAAACGGCATCGTTAACAGACCGTTAACATGCCGCTTCCTTTTAAGGGGCTGCTTTTACACTGTTTGACTAGAACCGTTTCTAGGCCGTTTTCAGTTTTCAAGATATTTCTCAAATTTCATTATTTTTTATTATTAACTGGAAAATATCATTGTCTGGTTTACCAGTCTCAGGAGTATCGTACTATCACTAGTACAGGTTCATGGACTAGGGGTACTACTTCCAGACAAGCTTCGATGACTTATATACTACAGGAAAAGAAAAATTTCAAAGTTATTCGAAGAAAATCAGTGGTGCACTAATACCACTATCCATTTTAATGAACAGTGCACTCGGTTGTAAGTTGAATAACTCTAGAACGAAAGCACCTGGAGACTTGCGGTTTTCAGCATTCGAAAGAGAGTCATATTTTTAGCTGGAAATGCCAAATTTGATTGGTCAAAACTGACTAATCAGGAGAATTCTTGATGAACATTTTAAAAACAATATTCCGTAGGCATTTACCATTGGATTTAGGGTTTTGACATGACCATTCGATAGAGAAGATTATTCTTCTTCGATCTATGTAAGACCGACCTCTAATCGTCATTTGATGACTCTCATTTTTTCACCATATACATGCCATGATCCACAATGCGGTATGATAGTTTAGTGACAAAAATGAAAAAAAATGAAAGTCATCAAATGAAGATTAAAGACATGTCACTCGACGCTGTTTTGCGTGCTGATTCCGAATATACACCTTCTTCGTGATTTGACTTCGATGAAGGATCGAAAAACCCGAAAATCACTGATTTTTCTTTTTTGCCGTTTGGGACTCCCGTAAAAATGCCTATAACGCCTGAACAAAACATGCTAGCGGGCTCGGTCTTACAAAGATCGAAGGAGAATAATCTTCTCTATCGAATGGTCATGTCAAAACCCTAAATCCAATGGTAAACGCCTACGGAATATTGTTTTTAAAATGTTCATCAAGAATTATCTTGATTAGTCAATTTTGACCAATCAAATTACGGTACAGAACATAGACTTTACTTGATCACACTAATAAACAGTCCGTTTTTCGTGACGGTGATATGTCAATCACACCGCCTAGAAATGTGCGTTTCTAAATCCTTTTGGTGAAAAAAGCAAGAGTGTGGTCGAAAATGTGAGTTTTCTCGGAAATCGTTTTCGCATGATCATTTAACAGCAACAAGTTGAACTTACCCAATGCAATACTGTATGCATTTATACATGGTAAGCAACCTTCATTCATTTTTACGTTGCGAAGTTAAAGATAATGACATTATGGATCTGACGTGCATGCTTGTTCGAGTTTGAATCTGCTGTATCTCAGCAAGCAAGCGATCTTTCCGGCTAAGGGATGCCGTCAAAATTATTATCACTTGAATCGTTTCATTTTTTTATAGAAACGAAGGAAGAAAAAGAAGCAATAAAGAATAAATTAGAGATTTTTACAATCTGAGTGAGTTTCGAACCGATTTTCATCGAGTTTGGGGCTTTTGTAGCTGAACGTCTCAGCTAATTAACGGCTTAAAAATTATTCCGAAATTCGCATAGGATATGGGATTCAGAGAGGTTTACTAGTGAGAGAGTCATTTTGGTTCCAATTAGGCACAAATTCTAATTGGAACCGTCGCATTCAAATCATACGGGTTCTCAACGCTTTCGTAAAACTTATTTTCTTCATTATTTAACAGAATATTGCGAGAAATATATTACAGAAGTCAATTAACTAACTGTTCTTTACTCAATGAGCAAATTTTGAGATATTTCCGAAAAATCGATTGGAAATAGTCTGACGCCGAAAAAAATTATTTAGAACATTTTCTGTGTTTTGGTCATTTCTAACTCTGGGTACTGTCTAAAAAATGGCTCCATACTAAACCATTAAGGTTTGGTGTATTGCTTCGAAACTTTTAATGGTTTTGTAGCGAAATTTCGAAATTCAGAGGATTTGTTAGATGGTACAAAACCTCAAAACAAAACTTTTTTCTACAAGGTTTTGTACAGAGTATACGAAACCGGCGAAGTGGTTTAGTGGCATTAAAGGTTTAGTAGAAATTTCACAAAACCTTACGAGTTTCGTATCGCATTAAACACTTCTTCGATGAAAGAAGAATATGTTGAAAAACCAATAAACAACTAGTAGCAGATATTTATTAG